GGGGTGTGCATAAGAGCACCAGCGTGCCTACCATCCTGTCCTACTGTCCCCTTTTATCTGTATCCATTTCATGTATTAATAATCATGTTTATACTTATACAGTATCTGTTATCTTATACATGTTTGACAAATAAAATAAATAAAATAAAATAAATAATAAATAAATAAAACAGGAGAAAGTGAGATAACTCTGGGCTAACAAAAGTTCTGGTAAGGAAAACTAAAGCCAGTTCCAATGTCCCCAAGAAGCTTCAACTGGTCTGGTGTGAAGTTTCTTGGACATCTCATCTTCTCTTCCTATTTTCTGAAAACAAGATCATGTCGTTGTTGGAGGGCGCAGGATCTCTGCTCATCTTCCTTCCCATCTTCCAGAGGAGAAAGCATCTCTGTGCCAACATTTATCACTTGAACTACAGAATGATGCAAAGGTTTGGAGTAAAGTCAGAACCAGTGGTGGGTTTCAAATTTTTTTACTACCGGTTCTGTGGGCGTGGCTTGGTGGGCATGGCAGGGGAAGGATACTGTAAAATCTCCATTCCCACCCCACTCCAGGGGAAGGATACTGCAAAATCCCCATTTCCTCCTGATCAGCTGGGACGTGGGAAGCAGAGAATAGATGGGGGCGGGGCCAGTCAGAATTTTTACTACCGGTTCTCCGAACTACTCAAAATTTCTGTTACGGGTTCTCCAGAACTGGTCAGAACCTGCTGAAACCCACCTCTGGCCAGAACCTTTTCTGATGCTTCACCAAGTCCATTCTGGAGTTTGGCTTAATGATCCCCGACTGGGAAGTCATCACTTCCAGACTGCAGATGTGGGAACATTCCCAGCATTGAAGATTTGTGATTTCTCTTCCGCTGCTTCACATTCTGCCAGCCTTGAGAACTTTTCACAGATGGGATTAAAAATAAGAATGACGTATCAGTTGGGTGACTGTTGGAAAACTAGAAAGAGGAAGGAGGAAATTAGGTATGTTTGCCACCTCGGGTTATTTGTAAAAATAATAAAGGTGGGTTGAAAAAAAAAATCTAAATCAAACATTATCATTTGGCAATAAATCACAACCACTTGCTGATTGGTGAAACTAATCCAAGCCAAATATTTTCAATGCACACTCACTTCTGAAGTTAATTTGATACAAAGATAGTAAGGGTTAAGGCATACCCTATCCTAAAACGTGGTTTCCTTCATGAAATGAAATAAAAAGCTGGTTTCTGGAAAAGCTAAATTCAGGCAGGTTCCTGGTAGCCCAGCCCATCACTAAGACATTAGCAAACTGACAAGGTCAAAAGAAGAATGTTGAACTGATAAAATCCAGTGCAGTTTACCTGGAATAAACTCGCAGACTTCATGGTCTTACTTCAAAGCAGGAAGGTTTGTATTTTTAACCACAAATTCAGTTCATTGATCTCTTTATTTAAACTGTGTTTAAATAAAGGTGCATTTTACGAAACTTCTACTCTCTCTGTCGGATTGAAAACCATTTAAGAAAGGGAGAAAAAGTAACTTTTATTCTAGCCTAACCCTGCTGCCTTGTAGACCAATGGATTAGGTGGGCCACCCATGCCTGATCTCAAAGTTTGTGGAACCTGTTCAGACCTGAGCTGGGAGTCTATGACAATCTCCAAATTGCAGGCTGAACTAGGAAATCCAACATATAGCCTGTATTAAGGCAGCTGCAGGCCGCGTCTTTCCAGCTTCCACGATCACAGGTGGTGCCCCTGAAGTCACCAGGAAGTGAGCTCAAGCAGAAGAATGTTTTGTTAGAAAGCACAGCAGAAAATAATTAAAAAAAAATTTTTTTTAGATACAGGATACAAATGTTTTGGAGTCTATAAAGCAGCCAGCACTCAAGTCTACAAAGAAACTTTAATTTCGCCAATACCGAATTATTTTGGCTGGTGAATCTAGGCGCCTTGCTTATTAGAAGATTGTCAATCCGTTTGTGAATTAATAAAGGCCTTCAAACTTTCAGATGAAAGCAACCGTTTTAGGAGGTTTGCTACTCAGCTGGAGCAGCCCACAAGAACAAATAAATAATTACAGGATTGAAATCCCACCTCTCCCCGATTCATCCCTAAAAGCCGGCCCCTTGCAATGGAGGTGCCATGGCGTTTTTTTCTCCTTTCTTTTCCCCTTTGGCTTGCATGCTGAAAACACAACACAGGCAAAGACCACAGCCACAAACAGCTGCGTGACATGACAGCACATCTTTTAATCCCAGTAAGTAGAAAAGGTGCCTCACTCCCTGCAGGAAAGCATATTTGGCACCACCTGGGCAGCCAGGTAAACACACCTGATCCAGGATGAGCCTTTTAAGTCTTGACATCCAAATGAAAAGCTTAAATACCCTCGGACTTTTGCTACCCAAAGCCCAGTAGCTGGTTTTGATCTGGGGTTTAAGATGGCTGAGTTTGAATCGAATCTAAGAACATTTATCTTCTGCTCCATGGCTAAATTAGGAGCCCAGCTAAAGAAACAGCATTTCCTCTTTCATTCAATCAATCCTGGCAATTCTGCCCCACCAGGCATCTTTAAACCCGTGGGTCTCCTACCTACCCTGCATCTAGGGCAGGGGTCTGCAACCTTAAATACTCAAAGAGCCATTTGGGCCCATTTTCCACAGAAAAGAAAACACTGGGAGCCACAAAAACCTTCCCGTGCCTGACTATTTCCGGAGCAGCCACAAAACTAGCATATATAGTTGAATTAAACGTTCTGTTTTCTTCTGAAACTTTTCTTTCTTGGATTTATTTATGGCTGGCCTACCGGAGGTTGAAAAGCTCAATAAATTGCATGCTGGCAGGTGTCACACATTAACAGTTATAACACATATTTTGAGTGACCGGGAGCCGCAGCAGAGGGGTGAAAGAGCCACATGCGGCTCCAGAGCCACAGGTTGCTGACTCCTGACTTGCCTTGATCTAGGGCAAGTCGGGTGTCTTGGGCAGGCGAGCAAGGGTCCTTGAACTGCGCTCTTTTGGCCAATCTGCAGTGGTGACCATGCTGGACCCTTGGAAGGGCTAATTCAAACTCTTCTACCCTGTTTTCGTGAAAATAAGACCTCCCTGGATAATAAGCCCACTTGGACTTTTGAGCGCATGAGTGATTAGGGTTAGGGAGACAGAGCTGGAAATCAGGTAAGATGGCAAGAGGAGCCCCGTCTTGCTCCATGTACCCCAAAATAATAAGACCACCTCGAAAATAAGGCCAAGTGCTTATTTCGGGATTCAAAAAAATATAAGACAGAGTCTTATTTTCGGGGAAACACGGTATGGTACTAGGACTTTCCTCTATGAACTTCCTATGTTTGTTTCTCTTTTGTAGACACCAGCTGAGAAAACTTAAGGTCACAGTTGGATTTTGAGGGATTTTTCAGGGGGCTTTCAATCTTAGAGGCTGGAGTAACAGACTGTTCCCATTTCCACTTGCTTGAAGCTTGGGAGCAAAGCTGTAGGGTGGGGTCTCCCTGAAGCACTGAGATGTCCACAATGGGACAGAAGGTGGAGACAGATCTCCCAGGTTCTCCCCCTTTGCACACCCTACTCAGTTTTGCCCCTTTGTCGCAGACACCCATCCGGAAAGATTCTTAGCCAAAGAATTTTTAATCAGCTTATCTGCTCTCTTCTACTGTTCACACTTCTCCATTTGATATGCATCTCATTATTTCCTTCCCAAGGTCGGAAAGCACGAATCGTTCCAAAAACTTGGCATCCAGGGGTCTTTGTAGTAGATGTGTGCATTTAATTTTCTTACGCATTTTTTTAAAAAACTTTAGGAATTCACAACCTGCTTGAAAGAATTCGGTTTAGAAATGCAAGTAGAAACTCTCCATTAAGCAAGGCCACTTTCCAAGCCAACAGGCTGCCTCTTGTGGCAAGGAGTTCCAGCACCACCACCTTGTTGTCCCGTACACAACGGTGCCCCCTTGTCTCTGTCCTGGATTGCCAGCCTGGTGAGGAGACCAGGCAACCCAGAAGCGGGTGGCAAAGAAAACAACAACAACAAGGGGTGTCTCTTTTCTGTCCAGGCTGCAGGGAGGACTCTTTGCAGAGACAACCCTCGTCTGCAGGGCACAAAGGAGGAGAACTTTGATGCCCGGCACGGAAGCCGATTCTCCTGCCCTCCAGAAGGTCTGTTGGCATCTACCAACCCAACAGCTGAGGATGCTTCCGCTGCCTCTTCCCGCCACGTTTCCTCTGAGCAGCCGTCACGAGGAAGCCGCCGGTGCTGCAATATTTTGCCCAGGCAGGCAGGAAGGAATGACCAGTGACCCTCCCCAGCCGGACCCCTGGCAAAGGGAAGGAAGCGGCAGGAGCTCCGGAGGGCGATGAAGCAACCGGGTGGGTGGGAGCGTCTGCTCCCGTGTCAGGCTTGGAAGTGAGCAAGCAGGTCAGCTGAGGGTGAAGCGCCTCTTCGGAGGGGCGTGGGAGGGGCGGGGTGATTTGCATTTTTATTTGGGGAACTGGCACGTCGCCCGTAACGCCCCCCCCCCCCCCCCCCCCCCCCCCCCCCCCCCAAGACTGGCGATTCTGAGACGGGCATGGCAGCCAAGGGAGATACGTCGGGAGGGTTTTGTTTTGGGAGAAGGTGTGAAGGCGATGTGTGAAAGGCAGCTGGGAGGGAGGGAGGGAGGGGGGAGGGGGCTAGGAACCCCCCCTCCCCAGGGATGCCTTGTGAAAAGAGGGTGGGGGGAGAAGGAGGCCCGAAGACGGAGCGCTGGAGTCGTCCGGCCGGGAAGCGCTTTGGGGAAGATGCCGGCGCTTGTCTCAGCTGCCTGGCGGGCAGGATCCGGGCACTGTCGTGGGAAGACAGACGGGCAAGCGGGTCGGGTTCCACAGGAGCCAGCCCCCTCCCGGAGCAGCAGCCTCCGCGCTGGCTCTGCTGCGCACCTGCCGTCCCGTCTGGTCCCGCCCCTCCCCTGTCCCCTCCCCGCCCTCTCGGCTCCACCTGGCCGGTCCCGGGGAAGGCGGGGAGGAGGGGGAAGGGGCTGGACGGGACGGGACGGGCTCTCCGGGCGCTATAAAGGCTCCCACCGGGCGGCTGCGGCCCAAAAAGGAACGCGATGGGTTGGCTCCGGCTTCCCAGTTGTCTGCGCTGCGGCCAGAAGGTGAGAGGGCGAGGAGGAGGAGGAGGAGAGGAAGGGGGCGCGGGGTCGGTCCCCGACTGGGGGTCCCTCGCGGCACAGACGGACCCAGAGCCGGAGTCCTGCCGGGCGGGGGCGCTTCGGGGACCGGGCGCGGGGCAAGCCGAGCGAGCAGCATCCTCGGCGAAGGGAAGAGCAAGCCAGGCGGGCGCGCAGCAGGAGGGACCCCGGCGCAGCGCTTGGCGATCCTGAGCCTCCGAGGGGAGCAGCCGGAGCGCTGCGCTCCCACCATCCTCCCCGGGTTTGGGCGCCCAGGTTCCTCCGCAGGGAAGCCCCCCCCCGCCCCCCCCCGGGAGGTCCCCGTTCTGGCGTCCCTTTGTTGGGTGCAGCTCCTGAAGGCGCGTCCAGGCAGGGGAGAAAGAGGGGCTCAGCACGCCTTGGGGGGGGGGCAGCCCCAGCTCAGGTTCTGAAAGTCACCAATTCCTCCTTCGAGGAAAAGGCTGGCAGCGCCTAGCGGGCACCTGCCAGCTCTCCTCCCCTGGCCGCAGGATCTGTGAGCAAAGCAGGGCGCATTTTCCCTGCCCCGGGACTGTCCGGGAGGCTCTGGAGAGGAGCCAGGGGCAGGAAGGAAGACGGGCTGACTTCTCCCTCTTCTCCTTCCGAAGGAATTCACTTTGTCCACGGAGAAGATCGCCGACTCGCAGGATGAGAACACGGAACGGGGCAACTGGTCCAGCAAGACGGACTACCTGCTGTCCATGGTGGGCTATGCGGTGGGCCTGGGCAACGTCTGGCGGTTCCCGTACCTGACCTATCAGAACGGAGGAGGTAAGGGGCTGCTCTACCCCTCCCTTTCCCCCTAAAAACACAGAGGCATGCTGAGGCTTCCCCATCCAAACGGCCAAAGCTGCCCAGGGCGTCCCGGATGTCTTTCAGCAGCTGCTCACCTGGCTGGCTAAGACTTCTTTTCCCCAGGTGAGCAGACACAGCCACGTGACTCTGATCTGCCCCTTCGATCAGGGATCTCCAACCTCGGCAACTTTTAAGACTGGTGGACTTCAACGCCCAGAATTCCCCAGCCAGCACAAGTCTTAAAGTTGTGGAGGTTGGAGGTCCCTGCCTTAAATCTCAAATGCACCAGAGAGACAGCCCTAACTCTTGTGGCCTATGAAGATTTTGGACTTCTTTGCAAGGCTCATCCCGAGATCTTTGTAGGTATTTCCCCACTGTTTTATAGAAATCCTTCAGCCTGTTACCGTATTTCCCCAAAAATAAGACCCTGTCTTATAAATTTTTTTGAACCCTGAAATAAGTGCTTGGCCTTGTTGCCATGCGCTCAAAAGCCTGATTGGGCTTATTATCAGGGGATGTCTTATTTTGGGGGAAACAGGGCACTAGCAATGGAGAAGCTCTAGAGCAGGAGTCTCCAACCTTGGCAACTTTAAGCCTGGAGGACTTCAACTCCCAGAATTCCCCAGCCAGCACAAGTCTTAAAGTTGTGGAGGTTGGAGGTCCCTGCCTTAAATCTCAAATGCACCAGAGAGACAGCCCTAACTTCTTGTGGCCTATGAAGATTTTGGACTTCTTTGCAAGGCTCATCCCGTAGATCTTTGTAGGGAAGCTGGGGAATTCTGGGAGTTGAAGTCCTCCAGGCTTAAAGTTGCCAAGGTTGGAGACCCCCTGCTCTAGAGCACTCCAGCCAGACCACTGGAGTCCTAGTAGGCTTGGAAGTGGGAGTGGGAGGGGAATCTTTGGTTTGTGCTGCCAGTGCTGAGACTTTGTGACGCTCCACACTGTGCCCTCAGAGTCATTCTTTCACACATCCTCATCCTATTATTCCCTTCCCCACTTTTCTGAGTGTTGGGTCAGGAAATGAACCTACCGGCTGGGTGTACACCAAGAGGCAGAGCTTCAAGGGGATATTCCGGCATCCTCAGCAGTTTGGAAACTTTACATCTGCAACTTCTGGATGTCCAGATGTGCCCAGACAACTTCAGTGTGGAGCAGAGAGCTTAAGTTCTGAGTCAAGAGGCTCTGCTGGGCCTTTTGCACAGGGACCTCAACCTGAACCTTCCCACCAACAGCCGAGTTGGCCTCCTCCTCTTCCGTTGACCCTGAGGCATCAGCCAAAGACTTTGGGGTCATGGACCCTGTGTTCAGCTGGGAGGTTTTATGGCTGACCTCATTTTTCTCCTTCCCTTTGTTGACTTCTCTGTGCCCTTCTTGAAGCAAACGGTAGAAGGTAACAATAGGAGGGATTATAAAACCAAATTGTACACACCCAGAGGAATATAATGGCTTGGGAACAAGGCATGGTTAGTGTGACTCATGGGGCACACTCAACCCTTTTCTCTCAAGAACAGCCGGGTTCATCCCATTCATTATGCAAATGTGGCAAGTGTGTGAAAGAAGCCGGGGACTATCCCTGAGATGGGAACTAAATCTACCACCCTTCCTGGCATTGGCACCCGATCAAGTTTCAGCCATTCTGCAAGATGAACAGAGCCCTGCCTGGGCTTCGGTCGCCCTTCTTCTCTGTAGGCACTGCAAGACATTGGCCAAACCCCAAATGCTGATTTCCCCAAATGTTTGGCTGTTTGGAGATCTCTGCCCATCACAATTAGAAGCTGTATTTTCCTTCTGCAGGCTGGTGCTGGTTTTGGTCCTGGCCCATGCCTGCCCACGCGGATTTGGCTCTGGTTTGAGAAAGATGGCAGGCTGAATTCTCACCTGATGCTGTTCTCTTGCAGGAGCCTTCCTGATCCCCTACGCCATCATGCTGGCCCTAGCCGGCCTCCCTCTCTTCTTCATGGAGTGCTCCCTGGGACAGTTTGCCAGCTTGGGACCCGTCTCCGTTTGGAGAATTCTCCCTCTTTTTCAAGGTCAGTTTTGTCCTTCATCCTGGTAGTTTTCTGGATGGAGCTTTGGGAAAGCCTTTGGAAAGTGCTAGAAGGGAAGGGGTTCTGGGAGGAGGAGGAGGAGGAGGAGGAGGAAGACTGTGGGGTCCTCGGTGCTCTCTGAGCTTGGCGGTTTTCCTGCAGATGTTTCGTGACCCAACTAGGGAACATCATCAGTGCTAGTAAGGAGTGGGGTTTGCTCTCAGTTTTTATTCCAGCGGCTTGCCCTGCCACTGGTTCTTAGGTTGGGCTGTTTACTCTTGGCTTGTTTGGCAGTTCCTTAATTGGGGTCCTTTGCAACATTTGGAAGGTGTCTCAGACAGGCCAAGAGAAGAATGGTTTGGGTCCTTCTGAAGACAAAGGTGGCTCCCTCAAAGCCAGGCCAACTTGGCATGGGGTGCCCAAGGCATATGTTTTCCAAGGCGTGGGACCTGAGTTGGTTGGTTCTGCTATAACCAGGGATTTTCTGCAGGTTCTCTGTGAACTGATGTGTATCTTGTTTCCTTTTTTTTTTTTTTAACCTGTTTTCACTTTGAAGAATTGCACAGTGTCTCCCACACGGCTTTCTGGGTTTTGCTGTGGCTTTTTATTTTTATACGATGTTTTTCTATATTCCTGGAAGCCGCCTGGGGTCACCAATGGCGAGCAGGCGGCAATTTAATTTTTCTAAAAAGAAAAAAAGAAAAGAAAATCTCAGGCGAAACAAGGAAGCAGCCTTTGCAAATTTCCTGAGCATGCCTGCAGTCTTAACTCCTTGGAGATGTCTCTTATCAGCTTGATTGCTGGTGTGAAAAAGCCTTGCTGACAAACATCTCATATTGACATTTGGGACAAAAGATTTGTTTTGGCCATAACGCCTGCCGCTCGCGATCTCGTTATCCTGACGCAAAAACAAACAAAGGAGACCCCACCTGTGTGCATTCATCAAAACCTGCAGGTCTTCCAGCTAACCAGGCGGCCTCCCTCCGTCCCTCCCTCCCTCCCTCTTTGCAAGGCAGTTGGGTGGGCATTGCCAGCAGGTTGGCTCCTAGGAGCTCAGAGACCTGTTTCCTGATGGCCTCTTTTCTCTTTCTGACCAGGCGTGGGAATCACCATGGTGATCATCTCCACTTTTGTGACCATCTATTACAACGTCATCATTGGCTACAGCCTCTACTACTTGTTCGCCTCCTTTCAGAGGGTCCTGCCGTGGGCGAATTGCGACCCGGAGTGGGCAGATGAGAAATGCAGCAAGACGCCAATCGGTAAGTCGGTGGGAAAGCGAAGAAGAATCCCTCGGCCAAACGCGCTTTCATTGCCATTCTTCTATGGGCAAAGCCACCTTTATCTGCAGGCGCCTGGTGCGGTGTGGAGATCAGATCAGAAATGCTTTCCTTTCCTTTCGTGATAAAAACACATGGCAGGATTTTCAAGCTGAGCTGGAGGCAGCGTCTGGGGTGGGGACATGCAAACGAGGAGGTGGGGTTATGCAGATGAGCATAACCCCACCTCCTAGTTGGTTCCTAAGTTGAGGAACCAACTAGGGTTCCTCGAAGAGCTAGACAGGGAAAGGCATATTTTGCACCTGTTTTAGTCCCATTGTATTGTTTCCCATCTTTTCTTATTGTCTCGTGTTATTTCCCACCTTTGCATGAAAGCCGTTTTCCCTCCTCTCGTTTGGAGTTTGACTAACAAGCCTGTGTCAACAGAGGTGGGTTTCAGCAGGTTCTGACCAGTTCTGGAGAACTGGTAGCAGAATTTTGAGTAGTTCGGAGAACCGGTAGTAAACATTCTGACTGGCCCCGCCCCCATCTATTCTCTCCTTCCCAAGTCCCAGTAAGAAATGGAGATTTTGCAGTAACCTTCCCCTGCATTGGGGAAGGAATGAAGATTTTACAGTATCCTTCCCCTGCCACGCCCACCAAGCCACATCCACAGAACCGGTAGTAAAAAAATTTGAAACCCACCACTGTGTGTCAAGCGGTAAAATGCCATTCAAAGGGAATCGTAATAGACTTGGACGTATCATCCCACCAAGTCTGCCTTATTGCTCAAGGATCCGGCCCAGCAGAAAAAACGGACACGGGAAGGATTGATCCAGTTGGGACCCTCCAAAGAGGGTCTTCCGAGTCCTTTGCTTTGCTGCAATTGGGAGGGGGTCATCACATGTTTCAACAGTTCATAACAGTAAAACGAAGAATAAAAAGCAGGAAAAGGAAACTCTGAAGCAAAAGGCTTATAAGTTGTGCTACAAACTTATAAATCTGGAACTTTGCTAGCAAATAAATTAAAGCACAACTGTTTTCCCCCCGTTTCTCTACCTCTTGTGACGGTCTCTTCTTCCTCCTCTTTCAGTGTTAATGTGCAACGTCACGATAGGCAGCACAAATGTCCAGATGAATTACACCGAAGTGCTGAGCATGAACCTCACCTGCATCAACGGCAGCCAGGTGTTTGCAGATACACAGGTTCCCAGCGAGCAGTACTGGAAGTAAGTGTTTAATCGGCTGAGCCTGGCTGCCTTTCGCCAACAACCGGCCACGCAAGTCCCATTGGCTTTGTTTGTCCAACTTTGCTTGCTGGAAATCCCCGCATCTCCAGGGGAAGCCGTGAAAGACACCCCCTTAAACCTTGTTTCAGACAAGCTTGAGTCATCTCTGCCTTGGGTTAGCTGGGTGGTCGTTTAAATGTGACATTTACGCAAGCAAATCTTGGGAGCCTCTCTACCTTTTGGTCTAGAGCAAGGCTCTCCAACCTTGGCAACTTTAAGCCTGAAGGACTTCAATTCTGGGAGTTGAAGTCCTCCAGCCTTAAAGCTGCCAAGGTTGGAGACCCTTGGTCTAGAGCAGGGGTCAGCAACCTGCGGCTCTGGAGCCACATGTGGCCCTTTCACCCCTCTGCTGTGTCTCCCTATCACTCAAAATATGCGTTACAATCACCAATGTGCGACACCCGCCGATTTATTGAGCTTTTCAACCCCGGGTAGGCCAACCATGGATAAATCCAAGAAAAGAAAAGTTTCAGAAGAAAACAGAAGGTTTAATTCAAGTACATATGCTAATTTTGTGGCTGCTCAAGAAATAGTCAGGCAAGGGGAGGGTTTTGTGGCTCCTGGTGTTTACTTTTCTGTGGGAAATGGGTCCAAATGGCTCTTTGAGTGTTTAAGGTTGCAGACCTCTGGTCTAGAGCAAGACTCTTCAAACTTGGCAACTTTAAGCCTGAAGGACTTCAACTCCAGCCAGCCATGGTCCAAGCTGCCAAGTTTGGAGATCCCTGCTCCAGAGTAGTCTTTTCTAACCAGGGCAATGTCCGAATGTGTGAACTTCTGGGCAAATGAGAGAATGCTGGCAATGTAATCAACCTGTCTTGAAGTTGTCCAGTTCTGGACATTCTACAGTAGATGGAACTGAATCATCAAACAGGCGAGGTCCTTCATGAGAACACGGTGCTTGCAGTAAGATTCAAATAGGAGCTGGAGGGGGAAGAGGCCCATCGCTAATTATCTGCCCCCAAATAGTGGGGATGGTGGAGGGGGAGCCTTTTCTGAGGGAGTGAGTATCATTGCATTCAGCTCAGGGTGTATTTTGCCTTCTCTGGAGGCATTTTAGCCCAGGGTTCTGCATCTCCCTCACCTTCCCCAGAGCGAGTCTTGCATGCATGAATGAAGGAAACACGACGCTATTTCCAGAGGTGTTAGTTGCACCGTGACTGGATTGGGCCATCATATCCTTTTTTTCTGATGATGACTGAACGATACAGAGCCATCAAAGCAGAGAGACAGCTTGAGACATTGCAAAGCTGTGTGGGTAGATGTGCAACTTGGAGAGAGAGCCTCCTCGGCCTCCAGAAACACAACCTGCCCCACAGCTACTTCAAGGCAGGATGAGGGAGCCTGCAATTAATTCTACAAAGCCCAGCAGGCTACGTGGGGCTGAGACTGAGACAAGCCAAGCAGGATTGCAATCCAGAGTGAAACTAGGATTTGCGTTAAGAGCAAGTGTCGTAGGACAGCATAGGAAACCACAACTCCCAGGAATGCCAATCAACATGGCCAGAGCTGAGGAATGCTGGCGATTGTGGTTGGGCAGTATCTGGAATGCCACCCCTCCTCCAGCATTTCTCCCCAACTCAACCACACCCCAAGCCTATTCCGGTTCAACCACAGAGCAAGCCGAGTTTCTCCCACCCTGGTTGAGGCTGCGCTGGTCCCCCTTGCTCATCCTTCTCTCCTTTTCCTCCGGCAGCAACAAAGTCCTCCAGCGGTCGGAGAGCTTAAGCGACACCGGGGTGATCGTGTGGTATCTGGCGCTTTGCCTTCTCCTTTCCTGGCTGATCGTGGCAGTTAGCTTGTTCAAAGGGATCAAGTCTTCTGGGAAGGTAATTGCAGGCGAGCCTCGTGGCCCCCGGAAGGCCGACTACCGGCTGAGCTGTAGGACTCTCATTTTGCCAGCAGTAGCACTGGAATATGGGAGTATTTAAGGCTCCTTTCCTCAACCTTGACCTTGGGGCGAAGAGGATCCTTGGAGAGCATGTGCCAAAATAGCTGAGAGCACCCATGAGCTAAAGTGGAAGGTGGCTGAAGGCACCGGCACTTGGCACGTGGCTGCGATAAGGCAACCGAGGCTCTGGTTTCAGAGCAAAGAACTGGTTCCATGGCATTCCAAGGACATGAAGGATTTGCCAAAGTGCCAGGAGAGATGCCAACTCCCTTCCTGTTCTGGTCACCTTGGAGGCACTGTTGGGCGGGCCCATTAAGGAAAGAGCCTGGAAGTAGTCAAGTCTAGGGCAATTTAATATGACTTTCGGGTCCTCCCTGCAAAGAATTTGGGAAGTAATTTTGTGGGTGCATGTGAATAATTTGATGGTCACTTGATCTAAGGGCTTTTCCTGGAGGAGATTCCAAGCTCATTAAAAGGACTTAATTTTCTGTAGAATATTACCTTCTGCAGAATAAGAGGGAGAGATGGATGGCATGTGCTGGTGTTGTCACAGCCACAACACAAAACAGAAATTCATGCTTGAGACATCTGAGTTACAGATACAGCTTAGAGGCAAGTCCTCTGTCTTGCTTGGAGAAACCTCAGGTTGCATCCATGAATCCTTGATAAGAAAGGATCAAACAGCAGGCAGGATATCTCCTGAGCGGAAGCTTCAATTTGCAAGACGGCAAGACAGATTAACAGAGTTGGAAGAGACCTTATAGGTCATCCAATCCAACCCCTCCCTCAAGCAGGAGACCCTACACCATTTCTGACAGATGGCAGTCCAATCTCTTCTTGAAAGTCTCAAGTGATGAAGCTCCCACAACTTCCGAAGGCAGCTTCTGTTCCATGGGTTGATGGTTCTCACTGTCAGAAAGTTCCTCCTCATTTCTAGGTTGAATCTCTCCTTGTTCAGTTTCCATCCATTATTCCTTGTCTGGCCTTCAGGTGCTTTGGAAAATAGCTTGACCCCCTTCCTCCTCTCTGTGGCAGCCCCTCAAATATTGGAAGATGCTCTCCTGTCTCCCCTGGTCCTTCTCTTCCCTAGACTAGTCATGCCCAGTTCCTGCAACCGTTCTTCATATGTTTAGCCTCCAGTCCCCTCATCATCCTGGTTGCTCTTCTCTGCACTTTTTCTAGAGTCTCAACATCCTTTTTTATAGTGTGGTGACCAAAACTGGATGCAGGACTCTAGGCGTGGACTTTTATAGAGTGGTATTAGTACCTCCCTTGATCTTGATTGGATCCCTCTGTTAATGCAATTTAGGATTGCGTTGGCTTTTTTAGCTGCCGCTGCACACTCATATTTAGCTGGTTGGCCACTAAGACTCCAAGATCCCTCTCACAGTCACTGCTATTAAGCCTGGTTTCCCCCAGATTATATGTGTGCTTTTGGTTTTTCTTACCTAAGTGTAAGTCCTTCATTGCAACCAAAGCCCCACTCAGCATCTTGCAGGTTTTGACCCCTCCTCTGCACATAGCCCATCAGGAGGGCATGACTGGGAAGGCCAGAGACCCTGCAGCATCCAGCAAAGATCAGATTCCTCACCATTACCTGTATCTGAATCTGGGAACTCATTTGTTCCTGCTTAAAAAAAAAAAAAAACAACCTCCAAATTTAAAAACTATTCCATTGGTCTTCCCAAAACTTCGGTCTGGCCTCTTTCTGAATCATGCGTTGTTTCTCCTTCCAGGTTGTCTACTTCACAGCCATTTTCCCTTATGTTGTCCTGATCATACTGCTGGTGCGAGGCGTCACCTTGGAAGGTGCCCGCGAAGGGATTGAGTACTACATCGGGGCCCAGTCCGATTTCACGAAACTTGGCGAAGCAGAGGTTGGTACCACCCAGCTAATGGAGGGCAGTTGGACTGGAACTTGTCTCTGTGTGTGTTTGTTTGTTTGTTTGTTTGTTTGTTTGTTTGTCAACAAGTACAAGGGAACAAGTAACAGTATAGACATAGACATGGACACATGAAAAAAAATGGCACAAATAAAAGGATGTAAATAGGCAAAACATAGCCATAAACACATAGATGTCAGCATTTCAATGCTGCCATAAAGAGGAGGAGGCGAGGCTTGACTTTTTACCTACTTATTTTCTCTGTAGATAATATCCCCTAGGAGATGGGATGGGAGGGGGACATTCCTGGGGTTGAAGGCAGGAGCTGGGAAGACTGATTTGGAAGATGGCCAATGAGAAGATGAGAAGAGGGGAATGGAAAGGGAAGGTTTTGGGGTCAGAGGTTTAGTATCGGCTATGATGAGTCAGGACCAGGTCTGTCGTACTCAATAAATGGAATATCTCAGCAAAGATTAATTGTTTGGGAGTGCAATTTATTTGAGATGACATCAAAACCTGACAATAGAATGATTACATATAAATAGGGACAGTAGGACAGGTGCGGTAGGCACGCTGGTGCGCTTATGCACGCCCCCTTAGGGACCTCTTTTTTTTCTAAAGTTTTTTATTTTTTAGACAAACAAACATTTAATACATCAGTTTTCTCTTCCCTTTGACATCTTGGTGTTATCTTCCAAAGTTCTTTCTTCTTCTGTATAGTTGTCATTACTTCTATCTTGATCCTTATCCAGTCCACAATATCAATTCATCACTAACATAATATTCAGTTCATCACATATTTTTACATACTTATATAATTAATCATTTATATCTCTTCTCCAACCAATAATAAAAACCATTCCCTATTTTAAAATATTCTGAGTCTTCTCTATCTTTAATCATCAGAGTTAATCTATTCATTTCTGCACAATCTAAGATTTTTTTCATTACTTCTTCTTCCAAAGGTATTTTCTCCGCTTTCCAATTTTGTGCATAGACAACTCTTGCAGCTATTATCATATGTATTATCAGATAAACTTTTTCCTTGCTAATTTTTTCAGGTAGGATACCCAGTAGGAACAGCTCTGGTTTAAATTCAATACGTTGATGTATCATTTCCTCGCCTTTATGGACCTCTTAAGGACCTCTTAAGAAACATGAAAGGTCCACGGTAGACAGTTTAAGGTCAAAGATATGGGGATTAGTGTGACTAACATCAGGATCAGGTAGAGAGTTCCAGACATTTACTACTCTATTGCAGAAGTCAGATTTCCTACCATCAAGATTAGAGCGAATTACATTGAGTTTGAATCTATTGGTAGCCCTTGTGTTATTACGGTTGAAATTAAAGTACTCCTTTACAGATAGGATGTTTTGGTAATTAATCTTATGAACTAAGCATAGGTCGGAAGGTAGACGGCGTAGTTTGAGGCTATCCAGACGTAAAATTTCAAGCCTGGCGGGATAGGGAATTTTATTTCGAGCAGAAGATTTGAGTACTTTTCTAGTAAAATATCTCTGGACCTTCTCTAATGTATTGATGTCTGAAATACAGTGAGGGTTCCAGGCAGGTGAGCAGTATTCAAAGATAGGTCTATAGTGTTAGTCCTATAAAAGACAGACGAACAAAACTCTTCAACCTTCCTCCTAGGTTCTAATTTCACAAAAACAGAGTTGGCCTGCCAGGAGGCAACACTTAATCTCAGACAAGCTAAGCAGGTTTGGGCTAGAGTAATACTTGGATGGGAGACAAAAGGAAAGCTAGGTTGGGAAATTGAAAAAAAAACAAAAGAAAATAATGGAAAACAACTTTAATGCTTTGGCCAAGAAACCCTTATAGATATCTGCCTGCCATCACTAATAATCTACCAGCTGAGTGCCTTATTGTAAGGATTAACAATTTTATGGTGTAGATTAAGTGTTATGACCAAATAGGAAAAGAGCTCCATCAGAATAAACTAATATCCATATTCTTAATAGCAATAGCCCTTAGACTTACCATATTTTTCGGTGTATAAGATGCACCGGAGTATAAGATGCACCTTAGTTTTTGGGGAGGAAAATAAGAAAAAAGCTGATTGATGAGTGGATCAGCCTCCAGAATACCCCCAATCAGCTGTTCCCAGAGGTGAATTTTAGCAACAAGTTCGTTGGTTGTGAGCTCTGTGCCTTGCTTTTTTTTCTGCCTCTGAAACTTCTGAAACTCCGTTTCATAAAAAACATTTTTTTCTTCCTCTGAAAGCCTCCGAAACAGAGCTTCAGGGGGAAAAAGGGCTTTTTTTCTGAAGCTCTGTTTGGAGGCTTTTTTTCTGAAGCTTCTTTCAGAGGCTTTTTCAGCCTCTGAAACCTCTTGTTTGCGAAGCTGGGCAGGGCTAAATTCAGAGTATAAAATGCACCCAGATTTTCACCCTCTTTTTTTGGGGAAAAAGGTGCATCTTATACTCCAAAAAATATGGTATATACCACTTCACAGTGCTTTTACAGCCCTCTCTAAGCGGTTTACAGAGTCAGCCTGTTTCCCCCAACAATCTGGGTCCTCATTTTACCAACCTCGGAAGGATGGAAGGCTGAGCCAACCTTGAGCCGGTCAAGATTGAACTCCTGGCAGTGGGCAGCCTGCAATTCTGCATTCTAATTACTGCGCCACCACGGCTAATAATAATTGCAATATTTATAATGGCTTATGTAGCACACACATCCATGGTTAAGTTAGGTGGGATTGCAAGAGTGACTTGCTATGTTTCTTCCTCTTCTTTCTTCAAGGTGTGGAAAGACGCAGCCACGCAGATTTTCTTCTCCCTCTCGGTCGCCTGGGGTGGGCTGGTCGCCCTCTCCTCCTACAACAAATTCCATAACAATTGCTACACAGATGCCATTTTCGTCTGTGTAATCAACTGTCTCACCAGCGTCTTTGCTGGGTTCGCAATCTTCTCCATCCTGGGGCACATGGCCTTCATGGCAAATAAGAAGGTCTCCGAAGTTGTGGACTCAGGTGAGCTCAACCTGTTAGGCCACTGGATCAGTGGTGAAATCCAATTTTTTTTTATTACTGGTTCTGTGGGCGTGACTTGGTGGGCGTGGCAGAGGAAGGATACTGCAAAATCCCCATTCCCACCCCACTCCAGGGGAAGGATACTGCAAAATCCCCATTTCCTCCCCACTCCAGGGGGAAGGATACTGCAAAATCCCCATTTCCTCCCGATCAGCTGGGACTCGGGAGGCAGAGAATAGATGGGGGTGGAGCCAGTCAGAATTTTTACTACCGGTTCTCCGAACTACTCAAAATTTCCGCTACCGGTTCTCCAGAACTGGTCAGAACCTGCTGAAACCCACCTCTGCACTGGACTCAATAGCCATCATAGGGTTTGGTATCAGACTCTGGATAGCACGGTGGGAAATCAGAGCTGGATTCAGATGTGATCCAGGATGACTCTTATTACCCTTCAAGTTTGATGTATCACTTAGATCATATCACTAAATGTGATCTTCTCCACCCATCAGTCACCTGTCTCAGTTGGGCTCTCCTAAGTTCACCTCCCATTTCTGCCGAACTGGCTGGAGGATGAGAACTGAACCCAAACACACCTGGTGGACACCTCCACCATCCCAGAAAGCTGCTGTAATTGGTCTCGCTGTTCACACAGATCTCTATTTCTCCGAGAGAGTTTCCTGATGGTATCCTTGATTTTGCTCCCTGGCAGGATTTGACCTGGCCTTTGTGGCCTACCCTGAAGCCCTGTCCAAGCTCCCGGTGGCTCCTCTCTGGTCCTTCTTGTTCTTCTTCATGCTTCTGCTTCTGGGTCTCGATTCCCAGTTTGCCACCATAGGTGAGTATCAGTTAAGACAAAGGGGATCCACCTCGTGATGTGATAATGCTCCAAAGGATTGTATGCCCTGCGGACAGAGCATCACATATCCTGCCAGCCTGCTTCAGTAGGTCTTGCAAAACTTAATAAGTTGATCTGTCGCATTTAAAAGGGACGCGGTGGCTCAGTGGCTAAGATGCTGAGCTTGTCAATCGAAAGGTTGGCTGTTCAGTGGTTCGAATCCCTAGTGCCACGTGATGGAGTGAGCTTCCGTTCCTTGTCCCAGCTTCTGCCAACCTAGCAGTTCGAAAGCAGGTTAAAAAAAAGGCAAGTAGAAAAGTAGGGACCACCTTTGGTGGGAAGGTAACAGCGCTCCGTGCGCCTTTGGCGTTGAGTCATGCCGGCCACATGACCACGGAGACGTCTTCAGACGGTGCTGGCTCTTTGGCTTTGAAAAAGAGATGAGCACCGCCCCCTAGAGTCGGGAACGACTAGCACATATGTGCTTTACTTTTACCGTTTTATGTCGCATTTATGCATTTCGTAACATTTACACATTTACACATTTCCAGCCATTTGGAGCCAGTAGCATCTCCTTCTGCCTTAGTACCACTTTATAAAACCTTAGTAAGGCCACAGCTGGAATCCTGCATCCAGTTTTGGTCCCCACATTACAAAAAAGATGTTGAGACTGGAAGAAGCGCAGAGAAGAGCAACTAGGATGATTAAAGGCCTGGAGACTAAAACCAGTGAAGAAGGTTGCAGGAACTGGGCATGGCTAGTCTAGAGAAAAGAAGGACCAGGGGAGACACGATAGCAGTCTTCCAATATTTGAGGGGCTGCCACAAAGAAGAAGGTTGGGGGGGGGGGTTCAACTTATTTTCCAAAACACCAGAAATGCAAGAAACAATGGATGGAAACTAATGAAGGAGAGAAGCAATCTGGGATTAAGGAGAAACTTCCTAACAGTGAGAACAATTAAGCAGCAGAACAGAAGTTGCAGGTTCTCCATCTCTGGAAGCTTTTAAGAAGAGACTGGACAGCCGCTTGTCTCAAATGCTATAAGGGTCTCCTGCTTCAACAGGGGGTTGGCTAGAAGACCTCCAAGGTCCCTTCCAGCTCTATTCTGATTGAATTGATTGAATTCAGTCTGAATGACATGCTAGGGAGGGGAAAGGTGAAAAAACCAGCTGAAAAAACCCAATTAAAAGGCATTTCTAAAATAACAGTCATCTAGACACGGTGCAGGGAGGTGAAGCCGGATGGAGCTGATCTCAGAGCAGCAATGCCAGGATGACCCTCCTTCTCCTCTCCCGCTGTGGATGCTAATTGTGCTCCCTCTTCCTTCTGCAGAAACCATCACTACCACCATCCAAGATATCTACCCCGCGGTGATGAAGAAAATGAGAGTTGTGGTGACGATGGGGTTGTGTATGTTGCTGTTTCTGCTTGGGCTCGTCTGTGTGACCCAGGTATGACTCAAGGAGGGCCGGAAACTCCCCCTCTCTTATGCTGAGATGCCGGAAGCCCCCAGGGGGAAAACTGGAGACTCTCTTGCTGTGGACAAGGGCAAGGGGTCACCTCTTTCTCCTCTCTCCCACAGGCAGGAATCTACTGGGTCAATCTGGTGGACCATTTCTGTGCAGGCTGGGGGATCCTCTTCGCAGCTATCCTGGAACTGCTGGGGATTTGCTGGATTTATGGTAAATATTTGCTGGGATCTCCTGCAACAGCCCCAGTTTCCCCAACACTCCAAAACACACGAGCAAATGGGAGTCTTAGCAGCCTTCCAACCCCATCCAAACTCTCCTTGATCAGCTTTTCCATTGGGGTGGAGGGGCTGCAGATTTGGAGGTCGACCCTTCGTGCAGTGGGAGACGTCCAATGTGGGAAAGATTATCTAAAACAAATGGGTTTTGCCAGTTCCAAGTAGGGTATTTTTGAGCCCAGACCCCACTGTTAAAGAGACACAACTCATTTGGGGCATCAGGCACCAGGCAAAAGGAGTTCAGCCCACGTGGGATAAAACTCTGGGAAGTTGCCCGGTTGCCAAGACTCAGGAACTGACTCCCCCACCCATGTGGCTGTTCTGTCCAGGGGGGAACCGATTCATCCAAGACATCGAGATGATGATCGGGAAGAAAAGCTTCCTCTTCTGGCTGTGGTGGAGAGCCTGCTGGTTTTTCATCACCCCTTGCCTCTTGCTGGTGAGTAGCCCAGAGATTTCAAGCGCTTGGAGTGGGGAGGGGAAAGCCTTGGAAAGTCCAGAGAGACCCCCTGGAGACGCGTCTCGCTTGGGAGGCCTATTATTTGCCTAACATTACATGCCTTCCAAAAACAGCAGCTCCTGTTCCTCCTAAGTACATCGTTTCTACGAAGGCCAATCATGTTCTAAGCAAAACAAAGCCAGCCAGGACCAGCCAGTTTGGAAGGAAACCAAAGTTTGCAAGATGGGAGGGAACCATCTCTGCCTATTGTTATCAACGCTTCTGTGTAGTTCCTTCCCCTAAAAGGATCGAGCACTTTGTGGCTCTCCTCCAAGACAGAATTCACAGCTATCTTGGACCTTGGCTAGATCTCTCTCTCTCTCTCTCTCTCTCTCTCTCTCTCTCTCTCTCTCTCTCATACACACACGCACCAACCCAACTCCATAGAATGTTTTGTCTTTGACACTCGGCAAACTTTGGTTGAGAACAAAAAGTCAATGGGCCAAATTCTGCCTGACACAGATCGGTCGTCTCTTTGCTGGGGGTGTTTGCTCTTTGAAAGCCAGAATCCTGGACTTTGTGAGGTTCAACAAATACACAGATAATTGCTGGCCAACTTTGGAGAAAGATAAGCTACCCGCTTGCCCAGAGGGAGGGAGGGAGGCAGGCAGGCAGGCAGGCAGGCGTTAAGATCTGAATTCTGAATTTCGGCAGGATTTGTGTTAAGGCTCTCCTAAACTAGATCTGTGATGGCGAACCTATGGCGTGGGTGCCGGAAGTGGCACGCAGAGCCCTCTCTGTGCGCACATGCACCGTCGCCAGCTGCTCTCTTTCGGGTTCTGGTGCATGCGCGCTCCAGTTTCGGCACGTGGTGCCAAAAAGGTTAACCATCACTGAGCTAGATTATCGTCTGTTCCTTCCCACATCCCACTGGCCAGAAGCTGATCGTGGTTCCTTTTCTGACCACCAGAAGCTGAGTCTCTTATGTAAGAGATGCTGGCTGAGGATGATGGTGATTGGAGTCCAGTACATTTGGATGAGAGGCACCCTTTGAAATGTGCAACTCTCATCTCTCTCTCTCTCTCTTTTCTCTTCTCTACCACAGGCCATCCTGATTTGGTCCCTGGTCACTTTTATGCCCCCCAAGTATGGCACGACTAAGTACCCGGAGTGGGGCTCTGCCGTCGGATGGTGCATGATCATTTTCTGCCTCATTTGGATTCCGGTGGTGGCCATTTACAAGATCGTCAAGGCCAAAGGCAACCTGTGGCAGGTGAGTGTTGCCGTGTGTGTGTGTGAGAGAGAAAGAAGGCGTGTCTGGTGGTGAGTGGCAGAAGGACCCCAAAACCCCCAGGAGACAAGCAAAGCCTGGGAATCCCACCACCTCCTCCTCTTCCTCCTTCTAGCGGATCGTTTCCTGCTGCAAGCCCAAACCCAGTTGGGGGCCGTCTCTGGAGTGTCACCGGGGAGAGAGATACAAGGACATGGTGGACCCGGTCAAGAAACAGGACATCGAGATTCCCACCGTGGACAGCTACATCAGCAAGCTGGAGTAAAGGGGGGGGGGCTGCTGCAGGCTGCGGGTCCCAGTTACGCCCAGCAAAATCCAGGCAGCCGAAGAGAGGCCGTGCAATGGATGCCAAAGACTTTGGACCGTCTGCCAAAGAGCCACACCTGGGGGGCACTGCTGCTAAGGCAGGCCAGGTCGTGGGGGGTGGGGGGGGGCAGCCTTCTAACTCAGGACCACTCTCTAGAGATAGGGGGTTTGGACCCCTGCACCCCCGGCCCTTTCCATAAAGAGCCAGCAAAAATCCCTCAACCCACAAAAAAACCCCAAAGTCTCCTCTGGCAAGGCTGAGTGCCCTCCCTCACAGAGGTGTGGTGATGAAGAATACACTTCGGCAATCTTCTGAGAATCTTCGGGGCCATCAAAGTGTCCGAGACTGGGATCCTTTGCACACTTCATTGGATGTGAAACCTGTCCTAATTCAGGGAGACTGACTTCTGTGTGTCATGGGACACGGACCATCGCACAACACTCTGGATGTGCACGCACAAATATCTCTGTGTGTGAGAGAGAGAGAGAGAGTAAGAGAGACAGATGCTGCACCTGGCATTTTATTTGCATAATTTATTCCTGGGATTTTATTTGGGATTAATTTATTATTATTATTATTTTGCTACCTTGGAGGGAAATTTCTGAAAACCTCTCTCCACCCCAAAGAGCTGGCTATCCTAACGAGCCATCCGGATTTGGGGTAGACCTTTCTCGTTCATCTTCAAGTTGTATCTCCATAGCCCTAAGGACTAGAAACTTGACTTTAGAATAAAGGAGAGAGAGAGAGAGAGAGAGAGAATTCCTTAGAAGTGGAACTGCTTATTCTCGGTGCAGAGAGCTGGCTGGCCAGCTAATAAAAGAAATGTCTTCAGATTTTGGTTTCCTATGGACCTTTTCATTGTCCATTTCAGCTGTTTTTTCTTCCTTCGTCTTCTCAAGCGGGAATCTCTCCTTTCTTTCTCCATCATTCACTCTCCCAGAATGCCTAATGGAGTCATCTGGGCCAAGGGAACTCCTCTTTTTCATGAGAATGAGCGAAAAAGCTGAATCGCCTCCGTGCGTCTTCCCGAAAGCCGCTGGTCTTAAAGATTCGGTCCGTTTCATCATTCCAGGCGGCAGCTCAACCCCCCACCCCCACCCCCAGGCGCTGGGTTGGAGGCTGCTCTGGTGGGCCAGTTTCTGGGGAGCAAAAGGAGCTGCAGTGCGGAGGGGGAGGCCGATGGAAGCACCCCAATTCTTTCTCATTAATTCAGAGGGAGGGGACGTCCTTTTCTTCTTGCGCAATCCACACAAGGGGTCTTTCCTGGTCCTTCACAAAGAGCCCGTTGCCTATGCACAAAGCTGGGTCCAGAAGTGATCCTTCGAGACCCCTGAAAGGCAACCCCCTCGGCCTTCTCCAAGGCAGATCCCGGGAGACCTCCGATCTCTCCTGACTCTTGGACTTTCTCGGATCAACTGGGGATTCCTAGATTTCTCCAGCAGGTCCCAAAGTTGGGATAGAAGGAAGGGAGGATGAATAAAGGCCCAGGAGAAGAGGCCTCTGCCCTGGTGGCCCACCTCGTGGCCATGGGGGTGCTTTTTGTCCCGGGGTGGGTGGGTGGGTGGGCTTTTTATACTACAAGTTGTTTTCTTGTTTTGTTGACATTGACGTATTTCTGCCTTAAATCAATAAAAGTTTGTATTTATTCATTTGAGCCTCTTTCATGGGGTCCTTTTTCCATCCTGCCAGGTGGAATTTCTTTTATTGGGGGGAGGCAGCCTCAGCAATTGGATTCCAGAGTTGTGGCTGACCTCACCAGAGAGGAAGAGCAAATACCTTGAGAGGGACGCACTCACAAACATTGGCACATCTGCTTTTAATTTTCAAGGAGGTGATTAAAATGCTAATGTTCGCACTTTACACCGGGAGGCGGTGGGCATTTCAGGGAAAGTTAGACAGCCACCCTGCACTGCCAGGATCTGCAGCGCCCACCCCTCTTCCAAATAGGCCCTTTCACTAATATTCCCCTCCCTCGGACTAATGACACAGCTTTCAGGAAGAATTTAGCTCAGGAAAAGCCCAGCGTGGATTCCTCCTGCCTCGGTGAGTAAACGAAGCCGCCTCATTTAATGCCATTCCTTCCCTAAACATCTGCAGCCAAACTCTTGACCTCACCTAACAGGTTCAGGATAGGCTTTGGCTGAGACCGCTTGGGTGGCTGAGAAGAACGTGCAAGAATCCCAGGACAGGGAGAGGCTGGGACTTGTTCCCAAAGACCGAGAGGAACTATTTGGGGAGCTCTTTTGGTCCCTAGAGGGCACCCTCAACCTGTAGCATCATCCTCGGAGCTTCTTCTGAGGTTATGCCGGGTCAATGAAACTTTCTGCATTTCCCCCCCTAAAGCAGTTTGCATTCAGTTGGATGGAGCATCCTTGGGTTTAGATGCTGGAGGGAGACGAGAGAGATCCTTGCACGGAGGGGATGCAGCATCTCTGCACTTCCTTAGGGAGGAGTTGATAGAAAAGTGGGTTATCCTTGCCAAGCCCTTCTCCAGCAGGGTCTGCAGCCTTCTCCATCACCCCTCCACCACAGTGGTGGGTTTCAAATTTTTTTACCACCGGTTCTGTGGGTGTGGCTTGGTGGGTGTGGCTTGGTGGGCATGGCAGGGGAAGGATACCATAAAATCTCCACTCCCACCCCACCCCAGGGAAAGGTTACTGCAAAATCCCCTTTTCCTCCCAATCAGCTGGGACTTGGGGGGCAGAGAATAGATGGGGGGAGGGGGGCCAGTCAGAGGTGATATTTACTGGTTCTCTGAACTACTCCGAATGTCCGCTCCTGGTTCTCTAGAACTGGTCAGAACCTGCTGAAACCCACCTCTGCTCCATCACCTCCTGAGGAAGACCCCAGAAGGCTTTCAGGGGTGGTGGTGCGCTTGTCACGAGGGAGAAGTGGCCTTTGTGAGCAACAGAAATGACACAAGACATCCTGAATGGAAATCAAGAACTTCTATGGTCAACCCACCTTAGAGGCCAAGCTTATCATGCTGTGTCCTTCAGGGGACAGAATAAAACCAGAGAACCTCAGGAGAAAGGCTGGGACCACACAAGGGTCATTTTTACCTCCAAAAGATACAGGGACATCTTCTCCAAGTCAAGGGACCTCTTCTCCAAGTCAAAAGCTAGGGTGGTGCTGCCCTCTGTTGGTTGGTTCTTGGAAGTGAGCCATCCCCCAAATCCACCAGGGCTGGTCCTGAACCTTCAAAGATGCCTTCTGCTTCTGCTTTCTTTCTCTTTCCTGTCACTCTGTTGCCTTCCTACAGAACGCAGCGTTTATTATCATCTTCTGTTAGACACACAACAGCCTCACAATTTTTTCTGCCGGTGTGTTCTTTCTTGCCTGTTTTTTTTTCCAGCTTCTTATCTCAAGATACTTCAAAACATTTCAAAAGTCTGTGGACTCTCCCGAGGTTGAACGTGGTCTTGTGAAATGAGCACTTGGGGGCAATTGTAGCCCACCCTAAGGATTTCTTGGGAGTTTTGCATCTCTGGGAGGGGGAGGGGCAATTTGAGATACCGAGCAGAGCTGACCCAACTCCTTTGAGTCAAGCCAGCGTGAACTCGGATGAAAATGCAGACTAGCAGGTGTCTAGAAAGCTAACCTTTCCCTTCCAAGCATTCAATTAGTTTGATTCCAAACTAGCAAGCCGTTTGCATTAATTAGGAACGGAATTTCGTTAAGCTAGAAAGCCAAGGCAATTATTATTAGCCTCTTCCAAAGAGGGCAGGTGGGGGTGGGGAGCGAGCAGCTCCTTTGTTGAGCCAGGCTGTTCTCCGCTCTTTGAGGGGTGCTTATCTAGGAGTCCCTCTGGACCAATTAAAGGATTGTGAAAGATTATATCAATTTCTACCCATTAAAAGCGGCAAATGAATTTTATGAACTCATTTCTTAACCTACTTAAAGGCATAGGGAGAACGCAACTAATCTTTTATAGATCACCTTTGTAAAAAAAAAAAGGGGGGGGGCAAAGCTCTCCAGGTTCCCTTTTGCAAGTATGTGCAAAAAAAAAAAAAATGAAATAAATAAAACTCACAGAAAAACATGCACCCTTCCAAATGTGTGGAGTTTTGCATGCCTGTCTCGTACTAAAAGTTTCTCTAACATTATAAACTGTATTAGGTTTTCTGCATGATTTCCCCAGACAGTTGGGGGGGGGTGTTGCATAATTTTTTTGAACTGCCGTGCAGAATTAGGAAATGTGTAAAGTTTACCATGCATGCATCCTCAGATGCTTCTAAAAGTGAGAATAAGTTCCTACAAATTCAGATTGGGGGAGTTGGGGGGGCATATATACATGCCAGTGGCCAGTTTTGTTCCTGTGACCCCCTAGGATGCTGTGCTGGTCATAAGCGCAAGGACCAGACTTGCGCCCCTTTTTTCAGCGCTTCAAACAGTCATTAACTGAATAGTCATAAGTTGAGGACTACGTGCACTGCAAAATTTATCAAAATTTGCCAAGAGGGCAACAGTCTGGCTGCTTCAGAGCACACCTGGCTCCCTGCAAAGGATATTTCAAAAAGACTGAAGGTGGATGGCCTCCGAGCATTCCTGCCACTTCCATCTTCATTGATCGATGCGTAGCTCAACCCCTTCCATTTTCTCCTGTTTTGTTCCTTCAAAGATTGCCTAGTTGGGTCTTTTGGGGTGGGGGGAGCATTCCCCTGACCAAGGGATCTTACCCAGGGGTGAAATCCAGCAGGTTCTGACAGGTTCTGGAGAACCGGTAGCAGAAATTTTGAGCAGTTCAGAGAACCGGCAAATACCACCTCTGGCTGGCCCGCAGAGTGGGGTGGGAGTGGAGATTTTGCAATATCCTTCCCCCAGGAGTGGGGAGGAAATGGGGATTTTGCAGTATCCTTCCCCTGCTCCACCCACCAAGCCACGCCCATAGAACCGGTAGTAAAAAAAATTGGATTTCACCATTGGATCTTACACTAGCTGGAAAAAGTATTTTGACTCTGCCAGGTGGAATTAATATTCCTAAAAACGAAGTGTTTTTAAACGCTGCCTGCTTCCTCTTTCCCAATCGGTTTTGACAGAGCTGAAATTCCCTCTAACAATATTCTGATTCTGCCCCCAAAGGAAACCTCCTTTATAGGGTGGTCTTTCCCTCCTCAATTGAGGGGTGTCAATGTTCCCCCCACCCCCTTTGAAAATCTTGTCCTTTTGAGTCTCTCGCCAGGAAAACTCCAAAGAATTCTAACTCTGTACGAGATTCTCCGTCCTCCAGGTCATGGTTGTTCCAAAGGGGCTTTTTCAGGAGGCAACTGGATTTTCTGATTTTTTCTTTTAAAGAGGTTTTGCTTCTCATCCCAAAAGCTTCTTCAGCTCTGACAGGATCTCTCCCATTCCCCACTATCCTGTGGGAAGGACTCAGTGCAGGCAGACTGGTGACAATGCCTACAGAATTTGGGGGGGGGGGAGAGAGAGAGAATCTTCCCAATTTTTTCCCAACGCCACCTCCAGTCCGGATTCTGATTCTGATGCTCTCCAAGACAGGAAGCGTCACTCCTCCTCTGGTGCAGGATTCCCTTGGGTGTCGAGGGAGGCGACTGGTGTGACTTGTTAATGCATTACTTTACACCTCTTGGAATTCTCTTTGCAGCTTTCCAAGCTGATTAAATATTTGTGGTTAAACATAGAAGCGATCGTACCCACAGGACTGGGAGATAAACGCTAAAATATTTGCTCTGAGCTACAGGTTTTCTGATGTCTACTCAAAAAAAAAAAAAAAAAATAACTTCAACGAAAACAAAGGTTTCCAAATACTATTTTCTTATCACCAATTGCAAAGATATTTCTCAGAAGAAGGTCTCCAGGGGTGCGAATTGCG